ACTTTTTCAGCCGCTTCACAAGCCGCACCAGCTCTGTTGTTGGTTCCATGTAGATGGGAAGGTGCCAGCGTGTCTGAACAGGTTGCATCCCATACTAGCACCCGACCCATCTTCCATGGAATCAAACTCATACCGTCCGGTCTCTTGCCATCGTCTCTTGCAATACCAGTTGGCTCAAGTAGACTTGGCACGTTGACGGTGGCAAGGGACCGGCGTATGATATCGTTAAGTGCGGCGTGCCTCGAGAAGCGGCCTGCACTTTTTTGGCAAGACAGTCCATGATGTCCTAGCTTGTCGACATCACTGCCACAGGGACATTTATGAGGAGCGCAGACCGGGACCCCAAGCCGTAGACAGGTTGCCATTCGGAGTGTGTCAGGCTCAAGAAATGTGCCTGTATTTGTCGAAGGGTACGCGTGAAGCCAGTAGCCGGCCTCATGTGTACCCACGGCCAAAAGCCTAGCACGCGCCGAACCTGTACTGCAGCTCAAAAGGTTATTATAAGTTAATTTACAATTTATGTCGTCCCAGCTCCTCTGTGAATTTGGAGAAACTGGAAAATTTTGACCTGGGCATGCAATTAAGAAAGCGTTTCTAGCTTCTTCCAAGCCAGCAATCTCAAAGTTTGAAGGGGATGCCCTTAAAATTTTACTTATGAGATTTGCTGAACTATGGACAGAAGATAGGAAGGCTGGTAAAGCGACACTGGAAATTTTGCGAATCCCTAAACCACCATAACGGATGGGTAGGGATGCTTGGGTCCAAGATTGCTCGTTCAGCTGCATATTAAGAACCGATTCTAAGTTAATTTTGATTAAGTCGTCTAATTGTGACAAAAGATCTAAGTGATTCCAAAAGGAGCAGCAACGGAGCACATACGTAAATTTTGGGACAAAAAGACAGAATTTCAAGATGGAAAGTAAAAAAAAAAAAAAAAAAAAAAAAAAAAAAAAAAAAAATTATTAAAAGTATGTGTGTATATATATATATATTTATATGTCTAATTAGAATAAGTATTCTAATAGATTTGATGTGGATTGTATGTATGGATGTGACTATTTATTCCAAGCCATTTAACACCCCAACCTATGGTCTCTGTATAACTTTTCATACTCAGTGGTTGTCTGGAAGAAATCGCTCTTAGCGATAAGACCTCCAATTATAACGCTTTTGTTAATATTATTGTTTGTGAATGTTATGTAATTATGTATAATAAAGTGTTAATCTATCTATCTAACACAACACTACCAAAAGGTCGTGTAATTTTACCGTGTTCTTCTGTAAGTTGAAGGCTACTTCTAGCCGAAAATCCGCTAAATCGTACCTCTTAAAATGTCTAGAGGAAGAATAAAATCGCGCCAAAAATATCAACCAAAACTTTGACTCAGAGTCATCACCGGCCTATTAATGTCCCTCCTGCTGGGGCACAGGCCTTCGTTACGGATGGAATAAGGGGATTGCCATGACCCACCACGCGGGCACAGTGCGGATATGCAGCCGGGACCACCGGCTTAACGTGCCTTCCGAAGCACGGAGGAACTCGAGATAGCTTTAACACGAGATTTAAGAATAAGCTTGCCGTTCCATGTTTCAGACTCCAAAAATCAAGAGGTTCATTTCTGGGATGTAGTATTGCATTGTTTAACAAAGTTCCCCAAGATCTGATTGAGCTTCCACTAACCAAATTTAAACCTCAGATTAAGAATACTCTTATGAATAAGGGCTATTATAAAGTTAATGATTATCTAAATGATCGTAATGCATGGACATAGTGTTTCTTGTAATTTGTTATTTGATGGGTATGAGTCAGTTTTTGTAACAGTAATATGGTACCTATCTAATGCCGCTTCCTATATACTAAATATAAAATTTATTGTAACTATATATCTATATCCTAAATAATGTAATGGAAGGTGACTAAGTATCTCTGAAGTCATTTTTCAACCTGACGACTCTGTATATATATCAATACAGGGAGAAAAAAGCAGCCCTTGCTGAGTTTCTTGCCGGTTCTTCTCAGTACAAGGTCTCCCGCTGTAGTTTTGCGAACCGATGGCGTAGCTTCTTGACCTTCACAAGTGGTTGTAACAGCCTAGACTGAATAAATGACTTTTCATTTCATTTCATTTCATTCATAGAAGATTTGCTTAACTTGACCACTGCGAAAGTTGCTTAACTTCAACGATCGTAGCCACTATCGTAGCAACAGTGCCAAAATGTCAATATCAAATCATTGATCGAAACCAATCTGTCGATCGACGAACCCAATGGAGTGTTGAGCACACCCATTTGCATTTCAAATGCGGCATTATGCTGCCGCAGTGAAAGTTGGATTCTCGCGCAAGGACAACGACTCGGATAGATCTGCCATCACCAATGGTTATGCAATATCACAACGCAATAGTAGAATCAAAAAGAAAGTCGATACCGCGTAATTAGGCGAAATATTACCTTTTTTTTATGTCTGGGAAATGCCTTACGCATCCTTCAACCACCGGGGGAGCGAGAAGAAGGTAATTAAAAAAAAAACAATATCGTTTATTCAGTCTTGTAACAGAGGCCACTAAAAATCAGACAATACTCCTGCACCGGTCACCCAGCGTACATTCTGAGGACCGAAGTCCCAATGCACGCCGGGAGTAGTCGAAACATTATCCAGCATAAAACAAAACGTTGACTGAAGTGGAGTCAGACCTTAAAATAATCCCCATTATTATTAGCCGAGGATAGAGCTAAGATTATTTACGTCGTGTTTTATTCGTATCACTCAAATGCCATTTGTAATTCAATAAACAGAGATAGAACATGGAGCAACAAATCCATGATTATTCTTCGTTTTTAGCCTGTCAACTTTGTTTTTTTTTTAAAAAGCTAGAGAATTTGAACCCCAGTCACCGATGTTTATTATCTATATATATAAAACTCAAAGGTGACTGACAGACATAGTGATCTATCAACGCACAGCCCAAACCACTGGACGGATCGGGCTGAAATTCGGCATGCAGGTAGATGTTATGACGTAGGCATCCGCTAAGAAAGGATTTTGATCAATTCTACCCCCAAGGGGATAAAATAGGGAATGAAAGTTTGAAACTTTATCAATTTTAAACCGATCGGGCTGAGACTTTGCATGCAGGTATAAGAAGAATCATAGATGAATGTCATTGTGTATAATACAAGCCTGAGAAAAAAACTGTAGTCTACACTTCAGCTCTACACCGAAGCAAAGCGAGGGCGGGCCCCTAGTATATTATATAAATATAATTATTTAAGTACTGTATAATATAAGGTACATATATAAGTTATATATATTATGTGTAATTGGTGTGTTGGAAAAAAAGCAGCGTTAGATTTTAGATGGGTTTAAACCAAGGTTACTTAAGTTCATATTTTACGATAAGTCATGCACGAAGTAACTTAATTGAAAATTATTTCATTAGTCTAGGCTGTTGTAAGCTCTTGTGACGTGAAATCAACTCTTTGCCATAACAATGCGTCTTCTTTGTTATGGCAATCGTTGTATCTCGTAAAGCAATCGTTTTATCGTTGTAACAATAGTAATTTTATCTACGGATTACCCTAATGTGGTGAATTCTTATTATCATACTGTGTTGGATAATTGGATTATGGCTTGACTACGTCAGTCTTATCTTAAATCGACGTAAAATCTGACGTAGAGTCAATTCATAATCTAATTATATGTACAACACAGTATAATAATAATAATAATAATAACAATAACTTTACTACGACCGCGCCATTCTCACCGACAGAACAATTCACTACAATAGACCGGATATAACCTTACAGGACAAAATAAATAAAGTTACTTACCTAATAGATATAGCTGTTCCCAACACACATAACATCCAGAAGACAATATCTGAAAAAATTAGTAAATACTTAGAACTCAAAGATGAAGTAACTAGAATATGGCGTCAACAAAAAGTTTACGTGGTCCCTATAGTCCTCTCCACAACAGGCGTCATTCCAAATCACCTTCTCCATAGCCTTAAATTAATAAATCTAAAAGAAACCCTCTATATCACCCTCCAAAAAGCTGCAATTTTAAATACATGTCGCATTGTCAGAAAGTTCTTGCAAATAGATGAAAACGAAATAGGTTCTCATCACAATAGTACAACATAACCAAACACAACACATGCTGCACTTACTTGATTTCGGCTCGTAATTGTAGTAAAAACCAGCCAAAGAGCTGAGAAGAAAAACACTCAACAATAATAATAATAATTCACCACATTAGGGTAATCCGTATAGATAAAATTACGATTGTTACAACGAAAAGGTTTTACCATTCTGCATTTTTTTTGCCTGAGGAAAAATCGTTCAGTACCTTTTTGCACGGCTATTGTGGATTATCCACTGTGTATTATTTAAAGCCTGCTATTGTCAGCTTAGTTCTAAGAACTAGTCGACTGACAAATCTCGGTCACCTCGAGAGAGTTGTGACCTTTTAGTGTTTGGAAGCTTTGGCATACGTACAAATAAAAGAGAGTTATTAGGTGTTTAAAAAAGCTCATATTACAGAACAATCTGAGAGAAAAACTTTTATTATAAAACTAGCGGCCCGCCCTCGCTTCGATTCGGTGTAGAGCTGAAGTGTAGACTACAGTTTTTGTTCTCAGGCTTGTATTATACACAATGACATTCATCTATGATTCTTCTTAAACCTGCATGCAAAGTCTCATCCCGATCGGTTTAAAATTGATAAAGTTTCAAACTTTCATTCCCTATTTTATCCCCTTGGGAGTAGAATTGATCAAAATCGTTTCTTAGCGGATGCCTACGTCATAACATCTACCTGCATGCCAAATTTCAGCCCGATCCGTCCAGTGGTTTGGGCTGTGCGTTGATAGATTACTATGTCAGTCAGTCACCTTTGAGTTTTATATATATAGATAGATAAAATACTTGTTATATTTGGAACTGCTCAAGTGAATACCAAGAAGTACTTAACCGAAAGACTCAAATTTTTGAAATTTACTTTTACTTTTGAAGCAGACAACTTACATAATTATTAATTACATACGAACAGTGCAACATTATAAAAACCATGTTAGTTACAATTTGAATAACTATTCACATAAATTGCAAAATAAACACAGTATTCTATGCCTGTAATGAAATCTAAAATTTAATCTAATTCATAATTCATAAAAACATACTTTTAAAAACGTGTTAAGAATCAAAACAGACCGATTTCCTCTATTCTTTGGAAGAACTTAATCTTCGCCTGTAGCGCGCCGAGAATCCAGTCTGGGGTCAGTTTGATGTGGCGAATGTCGTGGTCCGTGTGATGACCCTCGATCCTGAAGACCAACTGTCAATAGACAATATTATTATGGTGATAACATAATTTAAGAAGTAGTATCTATATCACACGTCACAAACAAAAGGGTATTATCTTCAAAAACAGTGTTTTGAGATATCGCGTTTTCAAGTTTTAAAAACTCATAGAAGCGGAACTACCTGTTCAAATGTTTAAAATGATACCTTGATTTAAACGTACATTATCCTTCTTTGTGTTGAGTAAGTTAAGTTAGTGTATCAATAGTAGTTTTTATTTTAAAAGTACTTTTATGTGACTGGGTAATGAGAATAAATACTCTATAAGCAGTTCAAATGGCTCAAATGGCTCATGTTAAAATTACAACTAGTATCATTTTAAAATAATTTAAATAAAACTAGTTTTTCACGGGTTAATGCACGAAACTTTATTTATTTATTCTTGACGTTTCACAGCCTTTACAGGCTGCGTCGTCGGAATCATTTTTTTTATTTAATTTTGTCGAGCTACCTTCGAAAGACTTTTATTGAGCGTTCGGTTATTTCATATATCAATTTTTAAAATTTTATTGTCTATATATGATTTTATTACATAATTTAGTTAATAAAGTACGTTAATTAAAAAACCTTTTTTGTAATTTTGAATTTATTTATTTGACCCTAACTACCGTAAACTACCACCGGTTCCAAAATTGGGAGACCTTTCTGAGAAGAACCGGCGAAACAAACTCAAGAGAGGCTCTCTATCTCTTTCTTATGTTTGATCTTTTTGTTTGCATAATTTAACGGCTGCAATCGTTGAAGTTAAGCAACTTTCGCAGTCGGTCATTGGATAGGTGACCGAAAATTTATTATCTCGAGCTCTTCCGTGCTTCGAAAGGCACGGTAGCTGTTGGTCCCGGCTGCATTTGCAGTCTTTAGCACCCACCAATCCGCACTAGGCCCGCTTGTTGATCATGGCCCAATACTCCTATTCCATTCATAGGGAAGGTCTGTGCCTCAGCAGTGATGATGATGATGATGACGTTGCAATGCGATACTCACCGAGGGTACTCCTCTGTCTTCCACGTGATATAAATACTTGTCTCCGACTCTGAAGAACACAGAGACAGTAGCTTGCGGGATTGGGTATGCCACCGTGGGCTGGCTGAAGATGGCCTGCGAGAAATAGCAGATTCCGTAAGGCTGCGTTTCCACCAGAGATGTGCGATGGAAATGTGTCGTGCGAGGATGCGTTGCTTTATATTCTGCTTCCATTTCTTCATCTCAAATTGATAAATATAAAAGTATCTTTTTCCAATTATCCATATCTATTTTGTGCACTTCTACTTCCAACAAGCTCCGTCTTTGGACTGGCTGGTACCGTATGCGCAAACCTCGCAACACATCCTTCTCAACATACGTTCCTCGCAACACATCCCTCGCACACATCCCTCGTACACAACCCTCGTACACATCCCTCGCTTGTTTTGTATGCGCAAAAATCTAGCTCCGCTGAGCCGTTTCCACCAGAGCTATGCTGACCGAGGCGAGGTAAATGAAGCGATTCTATTGGTTCTTTACAAACACATCCTTCGCTATGCATCCTCGCACATTTCTGGTGGAAACGCAGCCTAGCAGTTTACTGTTTTAATTGAAAAATCTTCCTCCTACACCTTACAAAAGCTCGAGGAGCTCGATGGTGGAGAAGCTCGATGGCGCAAGTCGGTTAGCGCGTTCGGCTGCGATCGTTGAAGTTCAGCAACTTCCGCATTGATCGGTCATGGGATGGGTGACGAAAAATTTACTATCACGAGCTCCTGTGCCTCCGAGTGCTTCGGAAGGTACGTTAAGCCGTTGGTCCCAGCTGCATCTACAGTCGTTAGCACCCACCAATTCGCACTGGGCCCGCTTGTTGACCATGGCCCAATACCCCTATTACATTCATACGCTGATGATGATGATGAGGTTGACCTTACAAAAGACCTGCTTTAATTGAAGAACTTGCCAGGAGTCTCCACCACCTTACAGGAGGAAGACTAAGGCTATTTTATCACGACATAAGTAGGTGAAGAGAGGTAGGGCATATCGGATTTTCCGCTCGAATTAGAGCGCCCGTCTGGGGAAGTAACCACCACCTCACAGAAAAATAATTTTCACGTTTTGGTGGTGTTGTGATTTAGTCGATGAGTAAGGTTTCAGGGCTCCACAGGTTAAGGGAGCTAAGCTTTAGACGTGAAATCGTAACTGACAGGCAGACACGCAGACAGACAAAGTTACTTTCGTACAAATTAATTTAGTTATATATCTGGAGGGTTCTTTAGACGTGAAATCGTAATTGACAGGCAGACATGCAGACAGACAAAGTTACTTTAGTACAAATTAATTTAGTTATATATCTGGAGGGTTCTTTAGACGTGAAATCGTAATTGACAGGCAGACACGCAGACAGACAAAGTTACTTTAGTACAAATTAATTTAGTTATATATCTGGAGGGTTCTTTAGACGTGAAATCGTAACTGACAGGCAGACACGCAGACAGACAAAGTTACTTTCGTACAAATTAATTTAGTTATATATCTGGAGGGTTCTTTAGACGTGAAATCATAACTCACAGGCAGACACGCAGACAGACAAAGTTACTTTAGTACAAATTAATTTAGTTATATATCTGGAGGGTTCTTTAGACGTGAAATCGTAACTCACAGGCAGACACGCAGACAGACAAAGTTACTTTAGTACAAATTAATTTAGTTATATATCTGGAGGGTTCTTTAGACGTGAAATCGTAACTGACAGGCAGACACGCAGACAGACAAAGTTACTTTCGTACAAATTAATTTAGTTATATATCTGGAGGGTTCTCTTCATAAGGGTTCTGAAGCTCTACTTGGTAAAGCAATAGCAGCAGGGTTTACGGCGGCAAGGAGAAAGAATCTATTGAACCTACTATCCTCATTTATACTCAATATCAATTATGATAAAGTTTGAAATATTTATAATAGTGTAATATCATCATCATAATCATCATCTGTCCATCAATATCCACACTATTGGAGCACAGGCATTCCCAATAGGAATGGTAAAACCCATAGATGGAATAGGAAGATTGAGCCTGACCCAACACGGGGGCCCAATGCGAATTGGTGGGTGCTTCTGACTACCTCCCAAAGCACGGAAGAGCTCGAGATTGTAAATCTTTTGTCACTTATCCAATGATCGACCACTGCGAAAGCTGATTAACGATCGCAACCGACCGCGCTAACCCCAAAATGAATTATTCTGACAACGCATTCCTGCAAACGTCAATAAATAAATAAAATCAGTGCATCTTACCCGTTGAAACTTGTTTTATTTAATGATTTTTTTGTAAATGTTGCTACTTTTGTTAAACGTTGATGAGCTTCTTACGGCCGTTTTTCTCATCACCTAAAAGATGTCCTGAATGGGTGGTAGGAAAAAATATTGGACGATATAACTATTATACATAATGTGATCACTGTTTGCATTTATACTGTATGACACAGCAATCAAAATGAGAGTGGCCGTTGTATCGGTAGCGACATTATTTTCTTTAAAATGTTGCTTCTTCTGTTAAATGCTGATGAGCTTCTTGCAGCCATTCTTCTCATCAGCTAAAAGATGTCCTGATGGGTAGGAAAAAATATTGAACGATTCAAAAGAGCTTTTAATAAGTGAATTTGAATAAAGTATCATTTCATTTCAAATACAACCTGGTGGTCTTCTGTAAGACGGAGATTGTTTCTCCAGATGGGCGTTCCAATTCGAGCTGAAAATGTACTGTACCGTATCCCGCTTACTACGTACATAACGAACCGCTTGGATCTCACAGTAGGGCCTGAAGAAATCGTGTAATGCAACGCATGAAAATGGAAAATCCCAGTTTTCTGAATTTATTAAAAGAGGACTTTGTCATTAATTTTAATTACGAGTTCAAATTCCACATTAAAAATGGCCATAGATCTCTGACCTCTTCTCATCGGCAGCCGAATGAACTGTAATAAAACTACAACAGGGAATCTGTCTATTACAAAAACTAGGATAAAGATCTATATCTTGGAAAAAAAATAGCTACTATATGGATATTTAAATAAAAAGCCATCGAACTACTGCGTTCAGTAAACTTAAGTGGAATAATCTCACAATCACAAATGAGGTTCATTCTTCTACAACCACAAAGGCATAAATCGCTTGCTCTCAGTCTTGTCAGCTCATAACTAGATTATGATTGAGTTCATGCAATTTTCGACTAGAAATATATCTCTCGACTGTATTGTGTTTTGAACCAACGGATTCGGTTCTAACCGGTACACTTATTAAGGATGAGACAGCGTAGCGAAAAATTCTATAGTAATGTATTGAACAATGGGACAAAAAATTGTTGTTTCCAAAGTATGATAATAACTTATTTGCGTTACAAGAGTAGTAGTTTTAGAGTTGTGTTAGTAATATGATGTACAAATTATAATAGTAATACTATATAACTTTTTTTGGATATCGCCTAACAACTTATTCCACCCCATCCGGTGTTAAACGTTGAGTAAATGCTCAGGTCCAAGCACGATTTTTTACCGCTCCGTCAAAGTTTCTTTGAAGACGAAGCAGCGCCCCATTTCGGGCGTAATAAATAACTGGCTCCCCCCAAAAAAAAATTGACAAAGACAATACGATTATGGAACTGCCAAAATTCTTGCTTGGGCCTCTAAACAAATAGGTAACTGATAACGATTTTTGTTTTGTTTTCTCTACCGTTTCATCATCAGCCTATTAATGTCCTCATTGCTGGGGCACAGGCCTTCCCTATGGATAGAATAGGGGGATTGGGCCATGATCTACCACGCGGACCCAGTGCGGATTGGCGGTGCAAACGACTGCAGATGCAGCCGGGACCAACGGCTTAACGTGCCTACCGAAGCACGGAGGAACTCGAGATAAAAGAATTTTTTACCGCTTAGTGGTGTTGTATTTCCGTTGTTGAGTAGATTTCAAGGGCTCTATGGAGTCTCAGACGGCTCACCTTTTGGCAAATGATCACCGTCACCTATAGACGTTGCAAAACCAGGAGTATCACAAATGCGATACCTGTATTTAAGGAAGTAGCACGTATTGGTCCAGAAACACTGTTGGTGATAATATATTCCACAGTTTAGTCGGTTTGGGATCAAATAGATTTTAAGAGCGGCAATTTTTTCCGCTGCATCAGCTATCTTGGCAACTGGACTCCACTCTCATTAAACAAAAGACGATGTGGATGTAATACGCTGCGCCTTAAAATAAAAACAATAATTAAAAATACCTCGAAGAAGAAATACTGGGAGCATTCATCTTGTGTCCTGCCAGAGTAGTTCAGGGTGTACATGAGGGTGTCAGTGAGCTTCCACTTATTCTCAATGGCGTCTTTGATCAGAGCCTCGGTGGTGATCGCGAGAGGAATGTGAAGACTGGTCAGCGGAACCTTTGTTCCAGCAGTGAGGAGTTTGCGGGTGTCTAGAAAAGAGGAAGCGATGATGTTGCAAATACGCTGGTTTGTAATCTACCCACAGCGATGTGTATGGTAAAAATTTTCCTTATATAAACACTATTTATATTTTACTGGATAATACAGCAAGCAACATGTGAGTGGATGTTGTATTGGTTCAGTTCAGATTACTCAATGCTGATGAGTTTCTTGCACCCGTTTTTCTAACCGGCTTAAATATGTCCTGAATTGGTGGTAGAAAAAATTTTGGACCATCCAAAAGAGCTTTCAATAAACTATAATTTAATTCCATTAAAAAGGCTGTTGAACTTCTTATAACGACCACTTTACAAGGAAAATTAATACGTTATAGGGGAAAAAACTCAAAGGAATATGAAGTCTAATGCATGCAAAGAAACAGATATTACTTTAATGTTCACCACGACAAAACAAGTACAAAGGAACCCGTTGTAATTAATTTTGATTGTTAGCCTGTTGACGACCTTTTGCGATAGTTGCCTCATAACCTGCGTGATCGTAAGATGAACTTGCTATCATGCTATCTTAGATTAAAGAAGATCTCTTCTTTGTGTATAAATGGACTTAACGTAAAACATTTTGAAGGGGAAAAGCTTTTGAATTGGCTAAATATATTGATCCATACTCGCAAGTCCTCTCAGTGTTTGCCTCTCCCCTAACAACTCCTTTGCTCTGTTTATCACTGACACTATGGTGTCGATAGCCTGCTCTTCATATGGTACTATTTCTGGCATATTCATGTTATTATATGTATATTTATTTTCCTTTAAACTAGAAATAAAAACGTGGAGTTTTGCAAGGTTATTGCTATTATTATTTAGCGATATGACCACAGATTACAGAGATTATGCCAAAGAATGTCACTGTGAATTTGTCAAAAATGAATAGATAGTAGAATCTGTGCGGAAAGAGAATGGGATTTACTTTGGAGGGCGCTGTAGTGCTTTTTTACCGTATTTGTAATGTTTTACCCCTTTTAGACATGATTAAATACAAAAAACCGCAAGAAATCACAACAACAAACAAATCCGTATCAATACAAAACTTGGACGTTTTACAGATTGCTGGGTTTGATTGCCAAATAAAAATCTTAATGTTAGTTCCGTTTTTCGCCGCGCCCATTCTATTTCCGCACAGACTCTAGAGTAATATTTTAACTGCATGGTTCATCCTGAGGCAGAGAGTTGAGACCACGAATATAGTTTTCGTCTAGTCACTGATTTTACCTTTTCTAGTCCCATTTATTTGTTGAAGTGAAATCCTATTTAAATATCGATATAGTAGCTAGATTATTCGTACAAGATCTAGATCTTTATCCTGGTTTTTCTAATAGACAGAATCCTGTTGTAGTTTAATTACAGTTCATTCGGATGCGGATGACAAAAGGTCAGAGCTCTATGCCCATTTCAAATGTGCAATTCAAACTCATAATTGAAATTAATGACAAAGTCCTCTTTTTATAAATTCAGAAAACTGGGATATTCCATTTTCATGCGGGAAATTGTGTACATTCTGCATTCTTTTGTTTTTGATTTGCATTACACGATTTCTTTAGGCCCAACTGTGAGATCCAAGCGGTTTGTTATGAACGTAGCAAGAGAGGAAGAGTACAGTACATTTTCAGCTCGAATTGGAGCGCCCGTCTGGAGAAACAATGTCCGTCTTACAGAAGACCACCAGAGTTTTATTTGAAATGAAATGATACTTTAATCAAATTCCCTTATTGAAAGATCTTTTATTTATCTCTTATCTAATAGACAAGTCCGTCCGTCCGTCCGTGGTGCTGTTTCAGCGGCCAAACCGTAAGAGATAGATATACAGAATGTTTAAGTTATAAGTTAAGAATAGTCTGATAAGACTACAAACCGGATGTGAGTAACGTAGCACTTCCGGTTTTCGAGAAAAAGAGAACCCAGCCAGGCCCTATTTCACCAAATCAACATAATGTCACTGACTTAGTCGACGACCAGGACCTTTCCGATCAGCTTGATCCTTTGGCTTTGCGTAGGGATGTAGCTTCGCTCTGCATCTTCTATCGCATTTATCACGGGGAGTGTTCTGAGGAATTGTTCGGATTAATTCCAGCTGCTGCATTTCGCCATCGTACATCGCGACAAAAATTTCATCCCCATCATCTTGATGCGTGGCTATCCACAACCGCGGCGGACACTTCCTAGCGCTCCACGCACAGCTTGGAGTCCAACCGCGTTCATAATATAACACCACGTCGCTGTTTTATATCTGTTTTGTGTTAACAATATACCGGATTTCACCTATAATTACAGTCCACGTCATTTAAAGCATCGATTATATTAATCAAATGTGCGATATCTTATATATAAAATTCTCGTGTCACAATGTTAGTTACCATACTCCTCCGAAACGCCCTGACCGATATTTATGAATTTTATATGCATATTCCGTGGGTCTGAGAATCGGCTACTATCTATTTTTCATAGCCTTAAGTGATAATGGTTGTCCAACGTAGTTTTCTGAAATCTACAATGCGCCTTCGCGCCAAAATTCAAACTATTGGGTATTGTAACGTAGTGCTCTCATATGGGTTAGGAGGAATGTTATCCCAGGAAATTGATAGAACACTACGTTACACACTCCTAAAATTTTTTTGGACAATATTATTTTTTTATAATGTGGTATTAAAAAATACATACAACCCTATATTTTCTCTTCTACCATTTGCCCCTATTTTTATGGCGGTACGAAGTTCGCTGGGTCAGCTAGTATGTATATATATATATGTACATGCAGATGGAGCTAAAGAAGTTTCACTTCAGTCATGTGGTCAAAAGCATACTCGGTTTTTTAATTTTAATTTCGCTTACTAACCACTCAAAAGATAGATACTCAAGGTACATGATTATGTGGTTACTGCCCGACTTTCTGTTGGTAAGACTACAAATGTATGTTTCTACAGAAGCAAGGCAGAACCATATCAAATATTTACACATATTGTGTGCTAAAACCTATTTTTGGAATCGAAAGCCTACAGTGAATCACAGCGTACTTATTTACTTTCGCTTTGGTGACTCATGAGTCATGCGGTACCTACTACATTGCTCGTAAACTCGAGGCGCCACATACATATCTAAGAGTATACATAGTTGTGTTATTTAAGTCTAAATAAATAAAATAACGAATAACGTATTAGTATAAATACTGTTAAATGATGTTACTGTCTGTACATTCCATAAGTTATGTAGGTTAAAGAAAAATAATTCGAACGAATTTTTAAATTTATTTATTATTAAAAGACTTATTATTGTAATAAACTATTTGGTGAACTTTTACCCTGTTTGGGAAAATGAAATAAAATGAAATGAATGAAGAAAATCAAATGAAAGTTTTATTTCTTACATATGGTTTTAATGGTGACAAATAATTCGTTAAATTATTTACGAGAAAAGGCACGGTTTTTCTACTGACAAATAATTTCACAACTACCGTGCCTATTCTCGCTATTCTCCCATACATTTTTTTCTTTTTCTTTTCTTTTTATTATATTATTGTATCGATCATTTGACAATATTACATGAATACTACGCTTCGACGATAAAAACTCCGTCCGTAAATTAGAATTAAAATTTTAATTTTCTTTAAATATAAGAAGGAGTTAGTCAGTAAATATATAATAATTTATAATATCAAGAAGTATTAAATAGCATTCTTGGGCTGTAATATTCTGCAAAAATATAATACCTACTTAACTAATATATTTAAGTAACTGACCGTCATTTTTGCCAGGTCTCCAGGTCATGAAATTTCTGCTGTTCTACTGTTTTTCTACATGAATCTCCTGTTTTTCTTAGAATACGATTTTCTTTTTTAAATTGCATTTTCGGCCATTAACAATGTAGGTAACCTAATTGTTAAATGTTATTGTATAAAAAAAACTAGCTTTAAGGGGCGGTACAAGCCACAGAAGATTTACCAATTCTTTTTATTTAATACCGTTTTTTTACCTACCTACCTAGCAACACTGCTGATCGTTATTGCGCAGAGGGAGTTTTTGGCGGGATTTCAATTGATCGAGTGCGGTTGGCGTCTTATTTCAATTATTCTTAAATTCGTTCATAGCGGATATTGTGAAATAAAATTGGTGTGAATTTGTATTATAACCATCTGCGCAACTGAAGAATTAGTGGAATCTTTTAAATATACTCTATTTCGGTCAAGTGGACGTGAGAACTTTATTGTAGTGTTGGCTACCTCACAGAAGCTTATCGAAAAAACTAACTGTATGCAATACATGAATAATGTATAAAACATTAGCATATGAAGACAAATACACGAAGAATGTCATGGTTCTTGTCTCGCTGAATCATTGGCGGAGCATTTTATTTATCTATTTAAATTGCATAAGTACGTTTTTCTTAAAATCTGAAATCGTTATTGGTACGTGGTGAATTTTCGATTAGTTTTCTTGTTTCACGCCTTCTATTCACTATTTTTAACATAAGGCTCATAAAATCAACCTGATTAGTACCACAGTAGTACCCAGTACCCTTAGGACAAACCAATATCGAATTCGTATCGTTTACGAGTTCGAAATGCCATTGTCAAATGTGTACTGATTTTTAGTTCTCGTTACGTACTTTGAGCCGCTGCTGTTCAAGTTTCCATACAAAATTTGACATTGACATTTCGGTTTGCAAACTATTCGAGTTCAATAATGGTTCGTGCTAAGGGTACAGTTACTCCGTGCAAGTGCCATAATCACGGAGTAACTGAGTAGTATGATCAGTTACTCCGTGATCATGGCGCTTGCAACATTACCAAAATATCGAAAATTCGCTAAAAACAAGGTACATGGTAACAATCCAGTAAATAACATAAATTACTATAAGATTACAGAGCTGTTTGGGTCTATGAACCTTACGCACCAAAACATACCAACATGACCTTGACGTCATTTTTTGAAGTGAAAACTTCTTTAGCGGCATTGTACACTTTTTTTTTCTATGTGTAAAAAATGTAAAACTCGCATCATGACACACAATAAAATTGGAAAGGTTGTTGACTTTCAATATATTGGACGAAACATCTAGGACGTCCACGTGGCCGCTTTATTGCGAAGAAAATGCTTTTTTTTTACAAAAGATGTCGCTAGATGCGCTTAAATGTGATTCATGTAAGTCGATTTCTTTACAATAGATGTCGCTAAGTGAGCTTAAACGTGATTAATGTAAGTTGATTTTTCTGAGAGATTCACTTTTTTAATGTAATATAAATTGTCATGTTTGTGTACGATAGCGCAATAAATAAATATTGTATTGTACCACATACATGATAGCACTTTTATACTGATAAATTAAAAGCAATTTGTGCAAAATTATTCCCAAAACATTCCAAAATATCAAAAATGCACAACGTTAATATTCAAGTTTTCACTTCTGCAGGCACTCCCGGAGTGTAACCCGTCGTTTTTTTTTGAAGTTATACTTCTTTAGGCGCGTTATGAAAAAATGATGAGAGTGAAATTTTAAGATGCGCGCGCATCACTGTAACACAAAATTTTAACAGCATGAAGTTGGTCGCTTTAGCAACTATTATTGACTATGAAAAGCAAAAAATATTGATAGAAAAAAAAGTCTGTGCGAAAAGAGAATGGGCGTGGCGAAAAACGGAACTAACATTAAGATTTTTATTTGGCAATCAAACCCAGCAATCTGTAAAACGTCAAAGTTTTGTATTGATACGGATTTGTTTGTTGTTGTGATTTCTTGCGGTTTTTTGTATTTAATCATGTCTAAAAGGGGTCAAACTTTACAAATACAGTAGAAAAGCACTACAGCGCCTTCCAATCTAAATCC